GAGAGAGAGAGAGAGAGAGAGAGAGAGAGAGAGAGAGAGAGAGAGAGAGAGAGAGAGAGAGAGAGAGAAGGAGACCCCACCGGTGCCCCCCAGTGGCTCCAGCTGGTTTCCAGGCCTGGCCAAGCGTTAGGAGAAGAGTATAAGGGCTGCTAGCTTTCTGAGCAGTATCTGGCATCCGGCAAGATGGATGACGAGGCAGACCCCTGGTTTGATTTAGGTAGACGAAGGCATGGGACGCTGGACCAGTTTCCAGCAAGGATGGTTTCTCTGCTCATTTCAAGCTTCTCAATACTTTTACCTATGTATTTTCGGCCAGACGAAGGCATGGGACGCTGAGCCCGGTTTTCAGCACGTGCTGCTCCCCATGAGATTGGAGCCTGTTTCCTTCCCCTCCCCCCCCTCTCCCGGAAAAAAAAGATCTCGTACTGCTGTCTTCAACCGAAAATAACGCCCAGCGGGTGTTATATTCATTTATAACGCCCAGGCGTTATATTCAGAAAAATCGGGGGCAACTTTGGTGCCCCCCCCTCCCAAAAAAAAAAAAAAAAAACTAAAAGAATTATGTAAAAAAAAAAAAGTTGTCTAGAATTGCAATACAACCAACTTTTGGCTGAGGGTCACTTGAGAATTCCTAAATTCGGAAATAAAAAAAGAAAACAAAAAGTAAAACCAAAACATACACCTTGGAAGTCAAAACCCCTTTCAACCCCCATTAAAACCCATGTATACCCCCCTGCCCCCCCTTTAAAACCCATGTATACTCCCTCTACAAGGCACTCTGTCCATAGCACATTCAGATATAACGTTCGGGGGTTATATTCGAAGAGGCGTTCTATTCGAAAAAAACTGAGTAAAAAAAAAAATGAAAGGGTAAGTTGAATATAATGCCCGGTCGTTATTTCCGGGTGAGGCGGTAGTGCTTTCGGAGGAGATCTAGGGCGTTCTGTGCAGACTTCCAACGTGTTACTAAAGACAAGAATATCATCAACATAGACAAATGAGCTTATCTAGTTTTCATGAAATACTCTATTTATGGCATGCTCGAATGTACCGGTCGCATTACAAAGCCTGGAAAGCGTCATACAACCCGTAACGAGTCTGAAATGTATTCTTGCGCTGATCCTCGGTGGTATCGGAAATTCAGATGCCTTGCTGAAGTACTTACATCTGCAAAGCCTATTCAGAGGTCATTGATGCACGGTAGGGGCTCAACATTATAAAATGTGATGGTATTGAGATCTCTGTAGTCATTACACATCCTTAATGTCCCTTCCTTCTTGGGTACGAATAGAACATGAGACCGGTAGGTGAGGTACTTGGTTTGATCAGCCCTTGTTAGTCAGTTCCTTCAGTTGCTTGCAAAGCTCATTCAACTGCGCAAGAGACATCTACATTATAAAATGTGATGGTATTGAGATCTCTGTAGTCATTACACATCCTTAATGTCCCTTCCTTCTTGGTTACGAATAGAACATGAGACCCGTTAGGTGAGGTACTTGGTTTGATCAGCCCTTGTTAGTCAGTTCCTTCAGTTGCTTGCAAAGCTCATTCAACTGCGCAAGAGACATCTTTAGATCCAGCCACTTGGGGGTTTACTCCCTAGGAGCCTCTATTGCATGGACTATCTCCCTATCCACAATTCCACTTGGTTTTTCTTGGCCCGGATATTTAGGGACAACTTCGACTCTCTCTTTACAGGTATCGGAGGCCTACTTTTGGAGATAGGAGACACATCGAGAGAAGATAATAGGGTAGGAAAACATGGAGGAAATTCATCGATTGATGGACCGATTTTGTTATCTATCAGACATGAGGGTTAACTGGGGAAATAAAACGGAAGGCTGGTGGATACACTACCAAGGGGCCCGACCGCCGGAATCTCTGCGGATTAGATAGCTGCCGAAAGAAGCCCTGATCAGGGTGTTGGGAGTTAAACTATCGACAAAAGGACAACCGCCCTCCAATGGTGAATGGCTGCTGCAGCCGGTCCTTGGAAAGCTGAACAGTTGGAAGGATAGCAGAACTTCGTTGATGGGACGGGCCTTGGTCATCAATAATGTAGCACTAGCCTCATTATGGTATAAAACAACACTCTGGTCACTCAACAAATCGGCCACGACCACCCTCCAGCGACAGGTAGCAGCATTCCTATGGAGGGGGAACCACGAATGTCCTAATGTTATCAGCAGAGTGGCCTGGCACACGATAATCCAACCAAAAACCAAAGGAGGGTTGGGGATCATAGACCCATCTAGCCAGATGGTGGCCTTAGCCTTACAGTGGATTAAACACTTACTCCTCAACCCACAGACCCCCTGGACAGCACTGGCACTACAACAAATGTCCAGGCTAGCCCCGGTGCCCCCCCTGGACACAGACCCGACGTCATGGCTAGAAGATCGATATTGGCCTATTCCTAGACCATCACCTGACAAAAACGATGAACCCGATACGGACAGACAAACAGCCAGAAGGGACCTAAAAAATGATGCTTTCTGGACTTCCCTTATAAAAACATGGAGGAAACTCCCCCCCTAGGATAAAGTGCCACCACTGCGCTGACAGGAAGTATATAGACAACCCCTCTTCGGCAACCGGTGGATAACAAACTTTAACAGTAGGGTGCTACGGTGCACGGATTCCCCTTGGAAGGGATGAACAAAAAACGGTGTCCTAAGAGTAGGACATATCTGGGATCAGGAGCGGGGAGACTGGATATCCGAACCTAAGTTAAGAGAAAAACTGAGATACTGTCACAAAGTAGGGGCAGCATTGGAGACAATCGTCTTTGCTGTCCCCCTAGATTGGGTGCGCATTCTCAAGAAGGGACCAACACTGGAAGAAAGCGACTGGGTGGGCATAAAAGACCAAGAGGGGGTAGTGGGAAATGTAGTGGGCACACGACCATCACGAGAAGGGGGGGGAGAAATATTAGTCAACCTTTTCCATAGGGCCTCAAACGACCGGCTTATGAGAATGGAAGGAGACAAGGTACAATGGCATAAAAGATCAGAATTATATAGAATCCGGGTCTTAAAAGAAAGGGATGGATGGCTGGCATACAAACCAACCACCCCGATCTCATACCTTGGTTTTGATCCGGCAAACTGGACATGGACACTAACCATAGGCAAAGGAAAACAAGGGCAACGACAGCTACACACACTGTCAGTCAAATCAGCTTATAGACTGCTGCGCCCCAAAAGAACCTTAAACGGCATAGTAGAGGACAGGTGGATGAGACACCTAAATGTGGGAAAAGAGGCCCTTCGCTCAGTAAGATGGTTTAGACTAAGTAGGGCCTCCCTGGTGAAAGTGGCGTCACTGCAATGGCAAATTGAACACCGCTGCCTACCCACAAACGACTGGTTGATTGATAGAACAACCCTGAAACAACGAGGGCTAGCCTTGCCGTGGTGCAAACTTTGCTCATCAACCTTTCCACCAAGATGCCGACCAGAAACAATCGAGCATATCTTCCTGCAGTGTCCGGGGTCAGTATGGCTATGGAGATGGTGGGACAGGGTTTGGAGATAGATGGGCACCACAGTTACTTGGCCATGGGATTGGAAGGCAATATTGTGCGAAACATGGCACCCGGAACAGGCCACATCCTTCGAAGAGAACATGTTTAAAATTGGGAGGCGGGCGATGCTTTGGGCGCTATGGAGGAGACGTTGTGTTTATGAAATGGAGGCAGTAAGACTGGATGGCCAAATCCTACAGGAAGAAATTAGACTGCATGTGGAAGCTGAAATTACTATTCAATGGGAAAAAGTAAAAGAAAAATTAGTAACCCTACATACTATAACAGAAATTAAGAAACACATCCAACAATTTAGCAAGGATTGGCTGGGGGGGACCCAGGGGAAGCCCATTGCAAACATTCCATGGGATGGGAAGGGGAAGGAGAAAAGGGGGGGGGAATTGTGGGACAAAATGGCAGGAACTACCAGCTTCTTTTTCAGGAATGGACAGATATCCAACAGGACATCCCTTGGCGCCCTGCCTCGGACTTCCCCGACCCTTTCCCACCACCAGCTCTAGCTATGGTGGGGGAGCCGTGGTATGGAGGTGGGGATTCCTAGCAGAAGGAAGCAGCAAGGCACAAGGATCGGGCAAGGGAGAAACAACACCTGGTAGCGAGTAGGGGGGAGGCTGGGAGGGTGTAATTAGCTTATAACTATCATGGCTGGGTCAAAATA